TAACTTCGACATAAACGCCTAGTGTAGACCAGGCCTTAGTTTTTCGTTAACACTATTCCTCCTCTAACAGTGGCTCAAGTTGTGAAATGTGCTCAGAATTGCTTGCCCCCCACAGCCTGTAGCAGCTGTTCTTCATTATTTCCTCAAACTTCAATTCCTGATTATTTTATTTTTTATTCATAGCCATTAGTAAAGTGCTCTTTGCCATAGTATCTATCTCTCAAACAAGAATGAATTAATCTTTGCCACATCTTGATGAGGGAATTATTATTTCCCTTTCTAAAAAGAAAAATTAAGGCACAGAAAGGTTGTGTGATTTGACCATGGTTACACAGGAAGTCAGTGGCAGACCTGAGGATGGAAGCCAGATCTCCTGAGTCCTATCCCTGTGGCTCAGGCAGACCATCTTTCTTTCTCCTTATTTCTTTCTACTAGCAAGTTCTGACTATCATTCATGAGCCTTCTATCCCTTAATGGTCTATACCCAAGATTCCTGAGGTCTCTTGCATGGCAGTATGGAGTACTAATAATTTATTCATTTAGCTAGCCAGTAATACCATATCTTTTGGGAAAAGCTGGCTTTTACAAAATATGGTATAAATATTTATATTCTACTGTATTTTGAGTGGCAATGCCTTTTCTGGAGTATAACTTGGCTTCAAGTAATCACTGCAGATTAAAATATACCACGGAAGTCTGAATCCAGGAATTCTTCATGCATTTAATTTTAATTTGTTATATTAAAACACTCAAATGGTAAGCGATTCTGATGTAAAGAGGGCTTATCCTTGGGTTTGCAAGTTTACCTTGTACCAATATTTGAATCTGTTTGTTAGTTTGCTTAGGGAATAGTGTGTGTGTGTGTGTGTGTGTGTGTGTGTAGTAATACATACTACAATACAAAAATACAGACTAGGTAGTACGATGTTGCAGATCATCTTTTTTTTTTTTTTTTTTTTTTTAAATCAACTTCTAACTGTTGAATTTTTTTGTTTAAGAGTAA